TGATATATTCATTGCATATGAATATATTTATAAAGTTAAGTGTTAAATTTAGAAAATAATTTGATATTATTAGAGAAACACACTGGCATATGAATGAATAAATAAAATTACAGTTAAGTTAAACTATCAACTTACCTATACATTAGACATCTTGTGAATCTACATAGTAATATCAAAAATTGTGATATATCAGCATGCTAAATGGCCTAAATTTCCACCTTTAAAAATAAAAATAAAATTAAACAACTTCCTTCTTAGGGCATAATCATAAAATTGTACAGAATTTAGAACTTAAAGCTAATTTTATGGAAAATTTCAACTTGTTAAATAGATTAGTTATTATGCAGTAGGAAAAATAAAATTTAAAACAGATTTTCAATAAGACTGACCAAAATAGAAAATCAAACAGAAATAAGTGTCTATACAAAAGTCTAAAAATCACTTATAAAAGGGCCTTTACAATAGATTTAGGCACTCACTTGTATAAAAGTAGCCTTTATCTATTGAAGCTCACATTTAATATTGCTTTAAAGCAGTACTTCTGAATGTATTTTCTGCAAACTTGTTTTTATAAGATTTTCTTGATGAATCAGCATTAGTTTAATATATATAATATATATATAGTTATATATATATAAAGGTGTCTTATCAAAAGCTTTCAACATATGAAACTACTACTTCTACAACTCTGGGAAACACAAAACACACACACACAAAAGACAATCTCTTTCATAGACAATCAGTCATGTATACCTATTTATATTTATACATATCTCGGACAATATTTTTAACTTTCATATCATATACAATGGCTTTCTGTATGCTTTAATTCAGCTGTCAAACAGGATACACTGATTAAAGCATTTTGAATTAGAAAGAAAATTTGATGAATCACCATAAAATAATTCAAAGCATAAACCAAGTGTCTCATCTCAGGATTGAATCATACTTGTTCCTATGTGCAATGATTCCTACATACATTGACAGTCTTCAGTTTGGCAATACATCAATACATTACTTTTCCTTAAATTTTTTTAATTTAAATATAATCTACAATCTGAGTTTTATTTTGCTAGAAAGGAAAAGGACCAAACATTTGTCTATAAACTAAAAATTAGCACTGATGATAGTTTTAAAGTCTTAATATTTTATATCAAATCAACAAACCTGAGAAGTTCATAGTGATTGATTTTTTTACAGCTTATCAAACCCTATGTGAGTTCTGAAACTAGATTGTATGAATACTTCATTTGCGAGTGAATATTGCATTGACAATCTTAATATTTTTCCAGACGCAACTCTTTAGCCAGGTAGAGGAAATGGATTCATACCTTTCCCAAAGGTATTTGTGTCGAAGTGAATATAACAAAACTGAATAGAATTTGAACTACAGACCTGTTAATATATTCATATTTAAAACTTTTTATGGTCATCATTAGAAATCATCTAATCATTCATAAATTAAACATTTTTTTAATTAAAATAGGTTTGTTAATTTTAAATTGTTTGTAAAAACTCAGTGTCAAAATGTTTGTGAAGACCTTAGTTTATTTACTCACCAGTTTAAACAGGTTTTCAAACTTTCCTCAGTTTTATATAGCTTACAAAAATATCAAGTGAAAATTTTCTTTAATCTTTCTAGTCACTAATATCAAATATTGTCATGATGAAATTATTTTACTTTTGCAAGCTTCTTACATTTTTGCAAACACATTGCTATGCCCATAACCTTGTCTCTTTTGCAACAGAATTGTAAATATTAATTGCTTAGTTTTTGTCTGAACCAATCATAGCTTGCCTTTTAATATGTGCACCTCTGAGACTAAAAGCAAAATGGCAACTTCTAATGAAAATAAACACTAATCAGAGATGGATTTCAAACTGGAAAAAAAAATCAAAAGATCACAGTATAAATAAAAAATTTGAAACTATTTTGGCATACACTGAAAATGGGGCTATGCAAGTTGACCATAATAAAATGGTTTGTCATAGTTGTAAGGTAAAGATGAGATATACTGACTACACATCAGGAGACAGGATTCAAAGTATGAACTCAGAGAGAAGCTGGAAGGAGATTAAACATACACTATTTTCCTTATTATGAACTAGACCAAGTTATGTAAACAGGTGATATTCCTTGCAGCCTTAATTTATAATACATTAACCAGACCTAGATTAAATATCTTTCAATTACAACAAAGTGGAATTAAATTTTACTGATAAAAATATCTTTGAAGATCCAAGGTAATTTTTCATGGTCTATTGCAATAAAAAATATCTTGTGACCTAAAAACAGACTAATTAGGAACTAAGTCATGGAATTTTTTTCATCTTTATACTGATTAAAGTTGAATATATTGTTAAAAAACTAATGAAGTTGTGTGGACAAACCTTACCTCTAAAATTACAATCATAATCAGGGCAATTTCAAACTTGTCGCTAAAAATGTTGAATGTTAACTAATATAATTTTATCACTAATTAACATTACTGTTTACAATTTTTCATTCTTATAAATTACTTATCAAATATATACTTTTCATGGTAATATATGCATACTAAAAAGTAGACTTCAGTTGTCAACATAATTATTTATGTTGTTGCTAAATGTTGTGTGAAAAAGCTTCTAGTACTCTTTCTTTTTTTTTTTTTTAAATACATAGTTGCATTTTTTTTAATTGCTGGAAATTTGAACACACCTATTCAAATATAATCAAATCTTTTAGTGGTATTTTCTTTTCTTTAATCGAATTTACTCCAAGCAAGGTAGTGAAAACACTAAGACACAAGGGGTTACTGAAAGAATAGAAAACAGAAACATTACTAAAGAGCGAGAACAATAGAAGAGTAATCAGGAAGACAATAGATAACAATTGATATTGCATGTAAATTTTTGAAGATCAAAGTGGAAAGTATGAAGTCAAAAGAGAGTTCCACAAGTGAGAAGAACTTACGATTACATCTAGCAAGTTCAACTGTAAATTTATGAGACCTAGTTGCTAATCTCGTACAGCACTTAAATCAGAAAGTCTAGGCCCCATCACAAAGAGAGTTCATTCTAAGAATTACCATGAAAGTATTTATAGAAAAGGCATAAGGAAGCAATTTTACAGTGATGGGAAAGTGACTGAAACCAAGACACCAGGCCAGAACCAATAATATTGGTATCTTGAAAAAATATTCCATTTTCTGGAATAAAGTCGCCTCACTGGATATCTATAGTATAATATCACTTTTAGCAGTTGCATGAGAGAAGGATATCTATAGAATAAAATCCCATTTTGCAGATGCATGAAAGAAAGATAATATTCTATTTAGCAGTTACATGAGAGAAAGATATGAAGAATATCATCATTTGTTATCTACAGATACTTCAATGTAAGTCTTATTGCTTATATTTAGATCAAAGGAAATAACTAGCTTATCTGCTGTAAAATTCAATGTAAAAAAAAAAAAAAAAAAAATTTACAATCAGACTAATGCTTTCATCTTTGTTGTTATAGTTTCAGCCAATGAACTTTCTGGCCTTCTTCAGACGTTTATCAATCCAGGTAAATTTCAGGGAATTTTGAACTGAACTCTTTATGGGACTAAATTGTTCTCATTCCTCTATCCATGCTTTTTTTTTTTTTAATACTACTCAGCTATTGCTAACCCGGTTTCCATTGAGTCTAAGTCTGTATTACCTAGCCCAGGGATTGAACTCACAATTACTATGATACCAAATTTATGAACCAATGCTTTAATCCATCTATTAGGCTGTTATCCAATGGGGAATTAAGACAGAAAATAATGTTAGTGCAAGTTTTTACAAGTAGACTTATGATATCTTAAAATCCTTACCCTACATGTCTGAACAAAAGAAACAACTACATAACATGAAAAGTGCCAGCAACTTGTATACAAGACATACCATAAATTACTCTTATCACATTAAATTATATAATAGTTAATGAAAAGTAGTTGCATCTAAACCATTTCAGTTTTTTGGCCTACAGTGGCAAAGATTCCAAAAATAGAAATTAAAATTAATCAATGAACAAAATTACTACCTCATATTTAATTCTATTAAACTAGAAAAACTTTAAATCCTCTGTGAAAAAGTAATAACTGTTGCAAGAGAATCTCTAGCTAAAGTTTACAGAAAAGATATTTAAGGAAACATCTTTTTCATAATAACAATATTTCTCAATTATATCTTGCAAAATTTTAAGTTGACAAATTAAAATTAATTCATTAGAAAAACTGATGTTTATGGACAGCCTGAAATTATAATTGAAGACACTGTCTTAGTCAAAATTTTTAATCAAAACATTAGAATGAAATTTGAAATCAATAAATGCAATGTTGGTGCTACAGAAAAATCAGGAATCAATAAAAAAGAATTCAGTTATAAAACAATTAAATAATCAGGACATTGAAACAAAAACACTACAAATATATCTGAAGCAGATTTAGTTAAATAAAAGGCAATGAAAATGTGTCAGCAGATCAAAAGATTTTGGAAAAATACTCAACAGCCAAAACATTAAAAAATGCATGAATACATGAGCAGTGTCCACAATAAGATATTCAGGGCACTTCCTAAACAGGACAAGAGTTAAAAATTTAAAATCAGAGAATGAGGAAATTGATGAACATGTATAAAGCTTTCAAACTTTAAAACTAAAGATAATAGACTTTATAAGAAAAGAAAAAAATTGAAGGTTAATTGTAAATTGAAAGATTTTCAGAATACTCAAAGCAAAGTAATGAGTCACCATTTAGGACAGTTAGACACTGAAACGAAACTAAAGAAAAAAGCTGGGTTATAAAAATAAAAAAAGTTAAAAATGGAAAGAAAAAAGCTATGGAAATTTCAATACACAAAAGTAATTACAAATTCCATGGTCATGGCTGTATAAAATACACTCAAGATAAACAATACTTAGTAACAAAAGCTGAAAACAAACAGAAAATAAAATAGGTTAAGATAGACAAGACACACTAGATTAGTGAATGTTACCGATGTGGAAAAAAGAAATTAAACCAGCAATCAGAAGTAAATGCAAGAATGAAGAGTGAAGAATTGAAGAGTATGAAAGAAAAGAAAAAAAAGAAAGAAAAGAAAAAAAAAAAAAAAAAAAAAAAAAAAAAGAAAAAAAGAAAAAAAAGAAAAAAAGAAAAAAAAAAAAAAGAAAAGAAAAAGAAAAAAGAAAGAAAAAAAAGAAAAAAGAAAAAAAAAAGAAAAGAAAAAAGAAAAGAAAAGAAAAAAGAAAGAAAAGAAAAAAGAAAGAAAAGAAAAAAAGAAAGAAAAGAAAAAAAGAAAGAAAAGAAAAAAAGAAAGAAAAGAAAAAAGAAAGAAAAGAAAAAAAGAAAGAAAAGAAAAAAGAAAGAAAAGAAAAAAGAAAGAAATGAACAGTAATTTGCAAAGGATTGTACAAAAACCAATTTTACTATAAACCAATAGTACAGGTACAAAGCAGAAGATGCCCAAGAGAGTGAAATTGAAAAAAACGTAAACTTTTTTTTATCACCATTCAAATTTAAACAGATCCCTCAATCCAGATGGGGAAAAAACAAACCTACTTATCATAAACAAATAGAAGACAATGGATATTACTGTTCCAATAGAGCATGTAGTGAAGTGTAAAGAATAGAAAAAAAAAACCTGGATCTTCCCAGAGACCTGAAGAAATTGTGGAACATGTAAGTGATAGTAAAACTCATCATCAGCATGCTAAGAATAATTCTTACAAAAAGACTAAAAATGGAAATTCAAAGAAATGAAGTCATCTCGACAGCAGTATGGCTAAAAAGAAAGTGTCATAGTATTCAAGGCTAATTGTTGGATTACTGTTTATATTAAAAATTGTAAAAAATGATGATAATGATAAAATTAGTTTCAGGAAGAATTAGAACACAGTAATTCTGGAGTCAGCAAGGGTGCTGAGGAAGGTGCTTCAGATTTGAAGAGACTTGCTGTCATTCAATCTTCAGTAATATCAACTAGACATCTGGTCTGAACATAAATTAATAAAAATACACAGACCTGATAAAATACTCCATATAACTATCATGCAGTTTTCATCATGATTACTCAGTGAAAGTGTCTTAAAGAAAACCTACATAAAATAGTCTTCACAGGCAGCATATTTTATATATACATACACAGCCATGTTTTTAGCTATGTTAAGGAAGGACTGGGATTAATCTCACACAAAGAAAGGTGGGTCATGTCTGATAGAGTATATCTTGTCATGATGATTTGAGGCAAAGTTTTACAAGGATGGATGCTCTTCCTGACGCCCAACTCGGACACTCATGACAGTCCAAGTACACTGAGTGTTTTTTATTGAGACACCATCTCTAGGATGGTTGTTATTCAAGAATTGAGAGCTTATCCTAATATATATATATATATATATATATATATATATATATATATATATATATATATATATATATATATATAGTGTGTGTGTTCATTGGCTCCTATAAGAAGGTCATCTGCCCTTTGACAGATTTTGTTTTTCATCCTATGCAGGTGACATGCTACCCTCCTTACCAGCAAAGCTAGTGGAAGAGTTGGTTTAGACACCAACTAATTGTCCACGCATGGTTGTACTGGGTTAAATTTTTACAAGGAGCAGGCCCAAGTCTGGCCTGATTATATATATATATATATATATATATATATATATATATATATATATATATATAAAAAAACACTGACTCTCTAAAGTATGATTTTTGTATATAACTATAACAGTCTAAAGTTAGAGAGCAACAATATATTTTTAGTTGCAATACAAGTTAATCACTTGTATAGTGACATTTCTTGTGGTTACACAAAGGACACATAAATCTGTCTTGAGGAAAAAGTGGCAACAGTCAAGAAAAACTTTGTAGATTATCTAGTAAGAATCTATTTTTTCCAAAACCAAAAGGTTTGGTCCAAATTTACAAGTCAGCCAAGTTTCATGTCCACTGCCACACTAAATGTATTTAAAACTTTCTGGTGAATTTTTTTTTTCATAATTTTGTTTTAATGCTATTATAAGAGCACAATAACTAAAATGGTAACACTTATATCATAATAGCATCAGTGAATTATAAAGAAAACAAAAAAAATATTTTTTTTATTTTACAAACCATTAATATTTTTCTTAGATCATTTAAAAAATTCTCTCCAACTCTGCACAAAAAGATTTAGATAATAAATAAAATCAAACTTTGATGTGTTCATAGAAAGAAATTAAACAAGTGATCAGTTGTAAAATAATACTGAATTTTATGAAGCAAAGTCTATTTTTTTTTTTTTTTTTTAAGTACATTACGAATAAGTTATCAAATAGAGCATAAAAACAAAAATCAAAAGAAGCTAGAAAAGTGTTGTTAAAATATAGAAGATATTTCCTGAAAAAATTTAGAAAAATCAGTCCATGAATTCCAAGAGGTAAAAAACTGCAGAAAAAGGTTGATGGATGAAAGGAAATGTAAAATGTTAAATAAAAGTACAGCACATCTTGAAATGCACATATTTTGTTTAATGTGTTCAAAACTTAAACAAACCTAATGAAAACAAGTGACCAGTTGATAATGCAAAGCAAAATTGAATTTAACTTTTTATCAAGGGTCATTTTTTTTAACTCCAGAAAAAGAAAACTGCAGAACACTTTAATACCATGCTAGTGTAATTACTTTATGAAAGTTTGTTTTTGTTTGTTTTTTTTTTAACCATAGTTATGATAATTGTGGATTGGACAAAAAGAGTACTGATATTTTTATGGATTTATGCCAGTTAAATCTTTAAGAAAGCATAAAATAAATATAAATAAACTGCATATCTTTGGATGAAATTCCACAAATTGCATTAATTCTTACAGGAGAAAAGTATCACATGTCATTTTCAGAAATGGAATTCCATTGAATAACATGATTGATTATGGAAATAACATTTGATACTTTTTAATTCAATCAGTTGATAAAACACACAAAGGGTAAAGATTAAAATTTTTATTTGTAATTAAAAAAAAAATAATATTTTAATAAAAATAATTTCACCTCAAGCAAGGCAATAAAGCCACTAACACTCAAAGGGTTAATCAGAGGGAAAGAAACTAAGAAAATGCTAGTGAGGAGAAAAGACAATAAGAGAATAGAATTCTAAAAAGGAATTTAATTTCCAAATGTTGTCTGACTTAAGGCTTTATTTTCAAGTAGCAAAGCATTTACCAATGAAGAAAATAATAAACTGGTTGAGACTATAATACTTTTGCACTTGAGGGAAAAGGCACGAATGCAATTTTATGTGAATTGTCCCATTGCTAGTCATCTTGATTATGTTTTTGTTACTGGCAAACGATGATAAAAAGCAAAGAAAAAAATGACTTTGAATACATATAGTCAATTCACTCCTATAATTATCTTACCTACTCAAGCAATGGCAGTAAAATAACTTTAATCATTTATCAAGTACTTTGACTGTTTTTGATTCCATTATTAAGCAATAACAAATAAACTAAGTATCTGCAGAGAACAAGTTAGGAGGTGTGAGATAAAAAAAAGAAGTCAAACATAAATAAAATTATATATATATATATATATATATATATATATATATAGAGACAAAGGACAGTGAAAATATGTAGAGTGGGAATAAAACATGCATCAGATAACTGTGTCCAGACATGCCAAATCAGACATTTTAGTGAAACAAGTGTTTAAAATGATTATGGAATTTTTAAAAACAAAATGGATTCCAGTTACATGCAGGTTGCAAAAACATTTAAGCTGATAATCATTAAATATACATTACAAATATTATTTAAATTTAAAATAACTAATTACAAAAAATACATTTCTAGCCAGTCTTACCAATCATATAACTTCTCTTAATCACACTTTTAAACTCTAAAGATAGTAAATTCATATTTCTAATGACCAATAATCAAAAAAATATTTGTGTTTAAATTAAGACATTAATTAATTGTAATGCATTAAAAGGATATCACCTTGATTAGGCAATTTGTAACCAATTTTAATACAATGTTAGTTTTGGAAATTTATGATGCAAAGTCTCTTGCTAATGAATATGTATTAAGAACAGGATTCAAGTATCATTTTAAGCAACAACCAAATTTACTTCAGATGACCTACTGCCAAGAAAATAGAGAAAAATAGACAGAACTTATTCTAAAATTCATGGGCATAAACGCACAACAAATGAAGAAAAGACATATGACTCAGTCTAGCTAACCAATAGCTCCTTGGAAAACAAAAAAACATTTTAAGCCAATTAGTTTTATCAAACAAGAATTTATGTAAACATTTATCAGCATATTTAAGAATAATGGAATAAGAAATACAAACAGGAACTCACATCAGGTGATGCTTAATCAATTTACCCCCAAGCAAAAGAGATAATGTCACTAAGACACAAGGGGCTACTGGAAGTGAAAGAAAATAAAAAAGATTTTAGAAGGAACCAGAAATCCAATCCTAAACTGGAAACAAGGGATAAACCTCTACTCCTGTTCAAAAGACCAAGGACAAGTGTGAACTGAATGATAAATGAACATAATGTAACTGCTAAAGCAATTCATAATCATCAGTAGTTTTTAAAACTATTATTACAATTAATTATTAACTATTATTATTAAAATTAATTTCCTACCAAGAATAAGGAGATTATCATCCACTTTATAGATAACAAAACAAAAAAAATATTTGATTACATTTTTTTTTTAATTGTTGCCAATTGAAGTCAAGAATATGGTATTTTCTAAAACAAGAATTCTGTCTCTGCTGCCCTGGAAAATTAATATTTTTTTTTCTTTTTGGTGATTGTATCAATTTTTAATTCATTTCTAGCCTTAAATGTTCACTATTTCCTAAACTATTCTTGAAATTTATGGAATGTTCTGATTTCTTTACCTTTTGGATAAATGCTGTTCATTTTTGTTCAAATTCCTTTGGAATTGGTTAATTTTTTTTTTTTTTTTACTTATAGTTTCTTACAAAAGAGTAACAAGTAGATTCCAGCCATACTATTAAAAACAAAGTACTGGGTGGTGAAATCTATTAGTTAGCAGAATTTATCAAAGAATTTAAATTCCTGCTGAAGCTGTTTATATTCCCTTTCCTTTCTGCATTGCCCTATCAAGAGACTTCTTGACAAATATGCAAAATGTCTTAACACTGGTATGTTGCAGTGGTCAACAGACAAAAAAAAAAGTGAACATTCAAACCATTTTCACATAATTCACTTCATTGCTCAGATAATAACAAAAAGAATTGCTGTTATCCTCAGATGCAACCTTGACTCGTTGAAATCATTCTAAAAATAATGTAAGCATCAGATAAAAATGAACTGGTATTTTTTTTTTTTTTTGAAATCAGATATAGCCTTTCAGGATTATTCTGATAATCTTTTAAAATGTCCAGTACCTGTAGTCTTATTTTTATTGTCTTAAGTAAGTTCTAAACTCTTGAAGAAATAAGTAGTTGCCTGTTGTATGTACTGACCAAAATCTTCAACATTTTCTTTTATTTAAACACTTTGCCCAGTTATACTTATTCTTTTTTCTATACATGATCAGATATCAGATTTTGCAATTTGATCCTGTCTATTAAACTGATGATTGATTTTGTACAGATTTCCATCAAAGAACTGTCTATACAACATTACAGTATAGACAGTCTTACAATTTATTTTCTTAAAAAGGCCAGAGAAATCTAGATAAAATAGTGCTGATTCTGAAGATTGGTTTAATATGAAAACTATAGATTCAGAAATTTTTTGAAAATCTGTTTCCAGTCTGTTTCAAGCATAGACACTATTTATTGTGACAATTTTTTTTTTATTTCATCAGATTATCATCACATTTCTCTATCATGTCAGAGTGTTTGGTAGCTATTTCTTTTATAGTTATCTTCAATTAGTACAGCTTTGTCTGATGTTGCAGGCAACAAATTATCTTTCTTCAGCTGAACAAAATGAATTAAAATACAGGCTACAATATATAGCTACTTAGAACCTTACTGAACAAAGAAAACTAACTAGCTGTGTTTCCATTATGAATTATAAAGGAGGTTATGAAGTTCACATGATTTAGTAATATCCTAACTTTTCCTATTGTGACATATATAGTCCAAGTAATTGGATTTAGTATTTCCAGGTATATATTCATCTCAACGAGTAATAACAGGATTCCCATTGGCACACTTTCTAGCTATGTGCAAACACCAAAACCATCATTACTTTTTTTTTTTTTTTAACCAAGTTCACCCCAAGCAGGGCAGTAAAGCCACTAAAATACAAGGGGTTACTGGGTGTGGAAGAATTAGAAAACAGAAACATTGAAGAGCAAGTTCAGTTCATCAACCTTTTGCAGGCTATTTAAAGCTAGAAAATATTTTTAGATTGTAAGAATTTTATGGGGGGATAATAATGATACAAGTCCTACTAACCCATAACTGGGAGGAGAAGAGGTGAATTCATACCTTCCCAAGGATATTTGCATGCAAGTGATTAAAACAAACCTTATTGGAATTGGAACTCAGCTCTGATTTTTCAATCCTGAGCCATTATCCATTACATCACCCACACATCCAAGCTTATAGCATGTGGTATTCCCAAGTGGTCATCCGTCTAGGTACTGATCAAGCTTGACATCGCTTAACTTTGATGATCATACAAGAACCAGTGTTTCAACATGATATGGCCATAAGACCTCTTTCTGTTAAGATGACCAACAGTACCTCTTGGAAATTTCCAATAGGCATCTATTCATCCCCTACTTTTGTAATTCTGGGATTTCTCTGGCTTACTTTCTATCATAGCTTCATTTTGCAGCAATTTCTGTATTTGAGGCTACAATGTCTTGGTAATAGATTCACTTAATGAAGACAGTAAAGAGCATTGTTAAGTTGAGATTCTGCCAATGTATTGAAAATATTTGCAATAACTGTCTCTGAGTTGACGCTGAACATTACTTGTCCTGTTTAGCCTTTGGATCAATAAGGATGCAAAATTTATTTAGCTTGTGTCAGTTGTTTATATTCAAAGCATTAAAAGATGAGGATATTGGTTTAAATAAATCACAAAGTTAAGCTAGTCTATTTGTTTTACTGTATTAATCTTTAGAAAATGTACATATCAATGTTACTTATATAATTACTGATAAGTAGAACACTTAATTTCAGGATATCAGTCCTCTCGGTTGAGGACCTGGCCTTTTGTGCCATTAGCTATAATCTCATTTCCTCAGACTTGAACAGTTTCATATTTACAGAGAAGTAGTAAGGTGTGAATAACTAGGTTAATATATTGCTAGACTTGATATATATCATACCAGAAATGAAAAATAAATAAGATTGTGAGACTAAATATAAGAGTGTTATACTTTTAGAACTATCTATTAATGAAGCTATTTTTTATAAAAATGTTTCTGCTCAAAAAATGAATTAAGAGAAGGGAACTTATGATTTATTTACTTTTTTTATATAAAAAATATAAAGATCATGGAATCTTAAAATAGGGCACCAATTTGTTAGCTGAGTGTGATCTCATTCTCAGGCCTTTTTCTTGGAATGGTAATTGTCTTTCCCAACCAAATATTGCATGCCATTTTCTGTACAGCCATTATTTGTTTTCCTTTTCAGTTTCAGTCAATCAAAAATTCTTTAGGATTTTGTGACTATAATTTTTTTATTTTATTTATGAAATGATTTCAGTGAACATTTTTAATTTTTTTTTTTTTATTAAATCTATATAATATAATACAGATATGTTTAGTACACTGCAAAAAAGAAATTAATGAACACTTTCTAGCATTGATTATTTTGGGTTTAAAGCTTGTAAATTTCTTTATCTAGGAACCCCAGGATTTCTGCAGAAATTTTGTTCCAGCTTTTGTTTAAATTTTGAATTTTTAAAAATTTTGTACAGATTTCAGAAACTGATCTTTTTTCTTAAAATATTTTTCAGTACCCCCTTGTATAATGTCTTATTTTGCCATTTTGCTTTACTATTACATGAATAAAGTCAAGAACTATTGTATTTTTTGTCTTGCATCTAGAATCCAAGACAAAATGCAAAAGGGTGCTGAAAAATTCTTAGCTTAACCAAGAAGCATTAAAAAAAACTCACCCATCTATTGAACAGAAGTAGAAGTTTATCACTTGTTTCTTGTTTACAATTGGGTTTCTAGTTCCTTCCAAAATCTCATTCTCTTTCACTCTCAGTAAGCCCTTGTGTCTTAGTGGCATTATCACCTTGCTTGGTGTGAAATAATTAAAAAAAAAAAAAAAAAACATTTAGTCAGATTTTGGAAGTTGGTTATGCTGAGAACTTTTCAGCAGCCCACTTATGGCAAATTGTTTCTACCTATTATTTTAACATGATCATTGAAGATCTTAGATTTCTTTCTTAGTCCAAAGGGAAAATAATGAGATGACTATAATGTTAGTTCTTTGTGCACATCTGACTAAATTAAGTGAATTTGGATTAGTCTGAAAGCATTATTTTAGAAGTACTATTTACTCTTAAGGCCATTATAATTCTATACACAAATGTGTCTTCAGCAGGAATAAGTTTTCATATACATAGTGTGAAAGAAATTTGATACTTTTTTTTTAAAGATATTGATCAAAATAGATATGCATATAATTTTTATGTTTTGTTTGTTCATAAAATTCCTTGCAGATGCTGACAATAATATGATTCTGATGCTCTTCATCATTGATAAAAAAAAGAAACCCCAAAAAACTATTTAAAAGTGGTTTCTAATCTTGAGATTAACTATATATTCTATCTTGTTCTATTTAAAGAAAAAATTTAAATGATCATACAATGGCAAAAGATTTTCTACAAACAAATTTATCAGAATTGTTTTCTGAAGGTCTGAGAAAAAGTGTTCCCATCATTCCTTACATTATTCAACTGATTGCCACCATCTTTGTTTTTTTTATCAACCCAATAACTCAGTTGATATATTATTCAGTCTTCTCAAATGTACAAGGAACAATATACATATTAACATAAAGAGAATAGAATAATTTCTGTCTGAATTTCTCATATTAATTATAGCTATTATATATTCTTTTTGGATTCATTTTGTCAACTTAGATTTTATATCACATTTCAACTTGCCTGTGTAAACTTCTAGTAATTCCAAATAAAAACCTTTATATCTTATCCATGGGGGTATATTACCTTCCTCATTCCTAGTGCCTTACCTCAGTGGAGTGACAGAGTAGCAACATAAGGAAGATATGACAATTCTCAGACACCAGTAAGAAACGAAAAACAACATATCTTTGTGAATCAAATAAAAGGTTTAATTTAAAATTTACAGACTTCACCTTTGTGTATATATTATAAATATATAGTTTTAAAGGTATGCTATATTTCACCATTTATCAGCATATATAAATAGTTAAATCAAAACCCAACACACATGACATAAAGAATAAAAGACTGTTGCCACTAGGTCAGTGTGTGTGTGTGTGTGTGTGTGTGTGATAGAATTTTTTTGAGATTTGATTAAATTCTCATAATAATTCATCAAGTCTAGGACAAGAATCCTCAACAGAATGCAGAAAGCACTGGATGGCCATTCCATCCTTTTTGGGAGCCATCAGCAATGTGCATCTACTACTGATAATCAAACCCAGACTGTTATGATACAACGCAAACATTATGCCAGTGGGCCTTGGCCATGAAAAGGAAACTAACTAGACTCAATACAGCACAGCTACTCCAGTATGGGTTCAATTCTTGGTAGTGGATGTGCACTGCTGATGAGTCCCAAAAAGGATGAAACAGACATCCAGTGCTTTCTGCATTCTGTTGAGGATTCTTGTTCTAGATTTGATGAATTATTATATACATATAAAGAAATATAGTCTTAAGGTGTGCTATATTTATGGAATAAAGTGCTCAATATCAGAGATAGAGCATGTGTAAATATAAAAGTGAACATAGAAGTCAACACTTAGAGGCGACAGTCTGTTTCATGCTATATGCAATCGTCAGGCCACATATGCTGTTATTTTTCTCGGCTATTTATATATAGATATATATATATATATATATATATATATATATATATACGGGTTAGTGGTGCATTGTGGGTATTCTATTATGGCGGTTATTTTACCGGAAGTCGTTTGTTTATTTATTTGGGTCAAATTATATTGCTCGTTTTTATTTTTTTGTTTCTTATTTTATTTATTTATTTATTTATTAACGTAGAAATATCATATGGTTCAACCCACCGTACAGCAAGAACGTAAAAACAAACGTAGGAAAAATATTCTTCAAACTCTTACACAAACACTTCCCATAATAAAAAAGCACAATAGGAAAATTATCAACAAACCACACGAACAAATTAAACCCACGTGTAACTGCAGAATAAAGTACGAATGTCCCTTAAACAGAAATTGTTTACAAAACAACGTAATATACCAAGCCACGATAAAATCACCAGATAATGAAGAAAAAAGTATACATAGGAGTAACTGAAGGACCCTGGAAGCAAAAGAAATTATACACAAAAAAATCTTTCACAAATAGTAAATATCTTTCGAACAGTACTATGCTTTCTAAGTATATCTGGGAAATTAAAAACAAAAAACAAAACGCACATCACACCAAAATATCTTGGAAGATAAGGAAAAAGTTTCATAGCCTACAACAACCAATCAAAAACTTGCAAACTTTGCTTGGAGGAAAAAAATAGCTATCATTACTTTCCCCGACCAAAATAAATTATTAAATAAAAGATCCGAGCTCATCTCAAAATGCAGGCATGAAAATAAATTTTTACTACGTAACCTAAAAAATGAAAAACAGAAAAAATAAAATAAAAAACAAATAAATACACTAATAAAAAAATAGAAAAAAATAAAATAAAATAAATAAATAAATACTATGTTGCTTAAAAACCGAAAAGAGAAAATATACAAATAAATTGACCTAAATTCACCCAAGTAAATAAATAGACAAACCAATTCCAAATTAAAAACTGTTCCCGCCAAAATAATAGTTAGAATGAACTACAACAACCAAACCCAAAAATTGAACAAATAGCTTCAATTAAATTCTCAAACCAAAACAAAACTAAATAAGTGATATAAACAAATTTTTACTACGTTAATAAATAAATAAATAAATAAAATAAACAAAAAAATAAAAAATTTAAATATAATTTGACACAAATAAATAAACAAACGACTTCTGGTAAAAATAACCGCCATAATAGAATACCCACAATGCAATTCCTAACCCATATATATATATATATATATAAAAATAGCCGAGAAAAATAACAGCATATGTGGCCTGACGATTGCATATAGCATGAAACAGACTGTCGCCTCTAAGTGTTGACTTCTATGTTCACTTTATATATATATATATATATATATATATATAAAAAAAATCTGCATATATATATATATATATATATATATATATATATATATATATATATATATATTACAGGCATTTTTTGTTGCCATACTCTTTCTTACAGCTTAAACAGCTGAGGAAAATATATTAGCCAAAATATTTGGTTAAAAACGAAGATGAGGAATCTGGTCACTATGTACTCATCTGGAGCACAACTTTTACAACTGAAAATTAAAAAGGTAAAATAAATGGAGCTGCACTCTTTTGATTAACTAAGTTTTAATAAATATGTTAATATCAAGATAAAATAC